TTGTCAAGTCAGTCATTTTCAGTATTCACAGAAGAGTAGTGAAGCAGAAGCAAAATTCATTCTCCACGTAAGAGTAGTGGAACATATTTTTTAGCAAAGTATGAAACCTTCACGGAAGAGTATTAAAGCAAAAGCAAAATCCAATCTCCACGGAAGAGTAGTGGAACGGATTTTTCAGCAAAGTATGAAACCTTCACGGAAGAGTAGTGAAGCAGAAGCAAAATTCGCTCTCCACGGAAGAGTAGTGGAACGGATTTTTCAGCAAAGTATAAAACCTTCACGGAAGAGTAGTGAAGCAGAAGAAAAATTCGCTCTCCACGGAAGAGTAGTGGAACGAATTTTTCAGCAAAGTATGAAATCTTCACGAAAGAGTAGTGAATCAATCCAATTTTGAGTCTGACATTCACGAAAGAGTAGTGAAACAGATTTTGTTCAAGTCATGCAAATTCAGCCTTCACAGAAAAGTAGTGAAGCAAATCATTTGTAAATCATCTTCATCCTTCACGAAAGAGTAGTGAAGTATGAGCAAAAGAGCATATCAAAATTCGATCACCACGAAAGAGTAGTGGAACGAATTCCCAGCAAAGCAAGAAGCTCACTCGACGAAAACATTTTGTCTTTTTATCTTTGTTTTATTCTTGTTTACACAAAAATAAGCAAAGAGGGGCAGCTGTTGACAGCAGTTTTCGTCTAAGTGGAGTTTATTTTATATATGTTATTATATATAATAATATTATATATTACTATTATTATTTATAAAGCCCGAAGGCCCGGTTACAAAGCAAGGCTCACAGGCCCATGTTACAACCAAGTCCAACAACCATTTCAAGCCCAGAACCATCTAGGCCCAACAATCCTAACAGGCCCACGAGAAGGCCCATACACGCTATGGTTTTGACTCATCTTCTCCAGCCGCCAGCAGCTCTCCACCGCACGATCAGAAGGAGATCCAAGGGCCTAGATTCACCCAACAATAACCCTAGGTTACTCATTATAACCCTAAGGGCTATTCCAACTGACGATCTACAACCGTCCAGATAGTCCACTCTAATACTTCCACGCCTCCACCGCCTCTCCAGAGTTCTCCCAAAGGCTCCAAAAGATCATCGAGAACCGCACAGCTCACTGTCTAGGGTGAGTCACCACCATAGGTCCGGTGACTCACCGAATTTCCTCATTATAACAGAGGATCTCTGGAGGCTATAAATAGCTCAATCCTACAACCAAGCAAACAACGATGAAAACTGTGAAAAAACAAAGAGAAGAGAGACACAGCAAGCAATAATAACAGCGACGAAAAGCAACAAAGTGAAAAAGCTTACCATCGTCGAAGTCTGAACGTCGTCGTAAAGTCGAGGAAATCAAAGGTAAAATCTCAGATCCCGTCCGATTAGAAGGTTTTTAGGCCAAAAGGAGTTTGGAATAGTGATTAGAAGGTTGGGATCTACATTTTGGTGTATTTGGGTATTTTCCTGACACCGTGGGTGGTGACCGGCGGTGGCTGTCGGTGGTAACTTTCAGTGACCGACCGGTGGTCGACTCTCTCTCCGGTGAAGAAGTATAGAGAGAAGTCAGAGTTGCGAAAGAGGGAAAATTGTGAGAAATTGCCTTAATGGTCGGGTTAGAGTTTATTTATACCCTCCTCGAACGACGTCGTTTTGGGGAGGGGCTTCTGTGTAATTAAAGAATGGTCAAATACCACGTGTGGTCCCTGTATTATGTAAACTTCGCAAGTTGGTCCTGAAATCAGGTTTTTCGTACCTTTTAATTTTATTTTCATATTTTTTTTTATTTTAGTCACTATTATATATATATATATATATATAGGATAAATTACATAATTAGTACACTATTTTAGAAGTATTTCGAATAATAATAATTAATTGTAATATTTTACATTTTAATTATTAATATTATATGATTAATTATTATTAGTATTTATACTTTAGGACCATTATTATTTTAAATAATTTAATCTATGTGATTATAATAATATTATTATTAATAATATGATTAATAATATTATTTAGTATTTTATCTATATTAAGTTATTTGTAGATTTAAATTTAAGAAGCAAATTTATCATTTATTGCAAAGACATTAATTAATAAATACCGATGCCAATTTTGGGTGTTATGGGGGTGCTAATTCTTCCCCATACGTAATCAACTCTCTAACTCATTTTCCTGGTAAGCAGACACGAGTTGTAATATTTTATTATTCTTAGGAATTTTATTAAAATAATATGATATTTTGGTGACCAATCTCACCAAATTAAAAGATTGGCGGCGACTCTACAACTTAGTGTTTCATCTGATTCAAGGAGGATAAACACTTACTTTTTCGAGACTAGTTACACTCTTTGAGGTGTACTATTTGCACTCTCCATCGTCGGACAGAGAAACGTCTCGACATGGACCATTCCCTTCCCATATTCCAATAGAAAGGAGCATTTAATTTGGTTGTGAATCGAATACCATGAATGCCTAAGATTGAACATAGAGCAGGAGGTGAAAGAGCACACCACATTAGAATAGGGTATATATTGCAAAGGTTTGACACTATTTGAGCATTTGGTGTCCCAACAGCGGGCATGTGGCATCCCACTTTGCAAAATGACTTTAGTTTGATTGGACAAGGAAATGTTGTAGTGGTGAAGTTGGAGAGAGATGGGTTCGTCACATGCGTAATATAAAATTTTATTTTCGTTCTTGATTTATAATGTTATTTGGAGAAAAATATCTTTTAACATCAAATATTGTGTTGTTACTGATTCATGATGTTGCTAAAGAACTACACCCACTGTTTTAACATCTTGCAAACTTAGTGCAGCGAAACAGAATGAACAATTGGTAGAATTATCATTTTCTATGGTTATATCTTTTTTTAGACTATTTCGTAATCCAACTGCACCTTCCAAAGTGAAATAATATGTTTTCAATCATTTATAAAGATGCTGTGTCAGGAAAATCATGGCTTGTATTTAATCTTGTTTAGATGCCTTAGAACCTTGCACAATAGTACGTCTAAGAACTTTAACATCGTGATGAATTTTTTGCATCTGATACTCGTGACAAGTATTCTTATCTAATATCTCAAGAGTTGTATGAATCAAATGATCTCAATGATTAAGAGACTTATTATTATCTCTTGAAGTCACATGTTCGAACACTATGTATACAGAAATATGAGTCTTTATATATATATATATATAAACAACATATAATTAAGAAAGAAATGAAAAATAGTTTGTCAATCACAAAACAACCAATCTTATTTTAATAACATTATATAAAACATAACAGATTTTTCAAATTAAGTTGATAGGTAGAGGTCCGAGAGGATGTAGTTATCAATATTAAACTAAAATTTTTATTCAGAATCACCAACAAGAATTATAACTATTGAGTCGGGTTGTACTAATGAGGTGTTATAAAATTATAAAAGTTATAGTAAGAACAAATAAATATATGTATAACATAAGAAGAGATGACAATTTTCTTTTTTTTATTTTATAAAAAGCTAGGTTCTCATTAGATAAAAAGATAAGATACAATAAAAATAACATAATTTCAACATGAAAATTAAAAAGAAGTGAATAAAAATAAAATCGATATCTTCCCTTGAATAAATGTTTCATCTTTCAAAAAAACTTAATAACTTTCAATAACCTCTGTATCTTTGTTCGAACCTAGGCACAATATTGATAGAAGCGTGGATCTAACTGTACAAGATTCTCAACCTAACCTGATCAGGAGGTGCATTGTGATGAATGCAACACGAAACTTCAAACTATAATGACGATAGACAAAATTATACCATAAAAGCATACGAACAATCATTCCATAAAGGCATACAAAAATAAAGAATATAGGAAAAGAAAGAAATCAAAACAGAAATTATATTTATTTAAATTTAAATAGAAATATTAAGTAAAAAAAAAGAAAGAAAAGAAAAGGTGACTGTACTAAAACACCACTTAAAATGACACTTTAGAGAGAACACTTATTTCCATAAGCATGTATCTGACCTTTATGCACAGAACTTCAATGAATATAAGTTACATAAATATGACCTTTGAAGAGCATAACAAAACAAATATAAGAGTTATAAGAATATATTATTGGAAGTTTGACCCGCCTTATTCATTACGAGTTTGTGAGTTTCCGACATAAATGAATTTGCAACGCATATTTTCAGGAAATAAAAAGTTCATATAAAGTCAACTCTGATGGACATTCACCATGTTAAATGCAAATGACAAAAACAAATAATCTTATATAATAAAACTTCCACTTAATTGACCGAAAATCAAGAAGAGTAGAACTTCCACTGAGTTTCAATGTCAGTAAGGCCATTCATGAACAGCTGAAAATTTCGTTTTCCAATATGTAGAACTTCCAATTGGAGTCAAACCTTCCATGTTATAATTGCTTCTACTGTCCCATTTAACTAATCAATTTAAGCAATTTGAATTACATATTCAAAACCATACTTGTACCGATTTACCGTTTTATCCTTTTCTTTTTTAGTAAACTACGTATTTAGTCACCTAACTCTCACATTACTTCTGTTTTGGTCACCCAATTCAAAATCATCACTGACATTACGTTTTGGTTTATTTTGGTTATCCGCCGCTAAGAAATTAACAGTGATATTGAGGTGTAATCATAAGGTAATGCCATGTACATCATTGAAAAAAATTAAAAATGTCATATCAGTAGTTCTGTTATTTTTTTAACAACGGATGACTAAAATAAAACTAAAACATAACGTAGTGATGATTATGAAAAAAAAAGTTAGGTGACCAAAACGGAACTAAAGTGATAATTGGGTGACTAAATTCATAGTAACGCTTTCTTTCTTTTTTTAGTGTATAAACAATGTGCTCCCTATTCATTGGTCTTAATGAAAGAAAAATACCACGGCCTAGTTCTACTATACATTGCTTGTTTCCTACCAACCAAGACTATTTTTCCTTTCTCATTCCTTTCAGTACACTCTTTTCTCTCTCGACACTAATTTGGTTTTAAAAACAAACAAACAAAAGAGCTTATATTATTTTTAATCGTTGAATGATTGAGATCACTACCATGGCAGCTATGGTAGTGTGTTTCAGTACCCTTTCGGTTCTATTTATGGTTTCCTTGTTGTGTAAACTTGTGTTAGACACCATATCATGTTACTTGCTGATTCCCAGACGAATAAGGAAAACCATGGCGAAACAAGGAGTGCATGGCCCGAAACCCATCGGAGTAACCGGCAACATACTTGAAATGTTCAAACTAACATCGGAATCGACCTCGAAAGACATGGAAACCGTCAACCACGACATCGTCGGCCGGCTTTTGCCGCATTATGTCAAATGGTCCAAATCATACGGTATGTAATATGTATATGCTTAACTAATAGTACCATGCTTGGTTTCAGTCTTATGGTTTTTCTTCTGGGAATTTTTGGACAGGGAAAAGATTCATATACTGGCATGGGATTGAACCTAGGATGTGTGTGACAGAGACTGAACTGATCAAAGAACTGATGACCAAACACCACCTGGTAACAGGCAAATCATGGCTACAACAGCAAGGCTCGAAACATTTTACTGGGAGAGGTTTGTTAATGGCTAATGACCGGAACTGGTACCACCAGCGCCATATCGCTGCTCCAGCGTTCATGGGGGATAATCTAAAGGTACTGTAATCTAATCTCTAATGTGCTTTGATGGTTTGAAATTATATCATTTTTTTCGTTTCAACAGAGTTATTCCGGACATATGGTGGACTGCACCAAGCAGATGATCCAATCACTGCAGAATGCAGTACATTCAGGCCAAAGTGAGTTCGAAATCGGAGAATACATGTCTAGGCTTACAGCTGATATAATCGCAAGAACTGAATTCGACAGCAGTTACGAGAAAGGGAAACAAATATTCAATCTTTTAACATCGTTGCAACACCTTTGCGCTCAAGCAAGCAGGCACTTGTGCTTTCCAGGAAGCCGGTGAGTAATTTTTCCATTTTTCCGGTTCTTTCCAGCCAGGTATTATGAACTTGAAGAGTAAATGTATTCAATCTTTTTCCAGGTTTTTCCCAACAAAATACAACAGAGAAATGAAGTCCCTGAAGATGGAGGTGGATAGATTACTATTGGAGATAATACAAAACCGAAAAGACTGTGTAGAAATTGGGCGGAGCAGTTCACATGGGAATGATCTGTTGGGTGTCTTGCTTAATGAGATGGAGAAGAAGAGAGGAGACAAATTCAAACTAAACATGCAGTTGATAATGGATGAATGCAAGACTTTCTTCTTCGCCGGCCATGAAACCACTGCTCTTTTGCTTACGTGGACTCTCATGTTACTGGCCACAAACCCTGCTTGGCAAGATAAGGTTCGAGCTCAACTCAAACAGATCTGCAATGGCGGTGTTCCGTCTGTTCATCAACTCAATAAACTAACTGTGGTGAGACTTCTTTTTTTCATGGCGTAAACCTATAGGGAAGAGGATAATTTTCATTTTATTTTTTTATGGTGCTTTTTTTTTTATTCATTCATGGAAGGTTATTTATTTATATGAGATGGTTTTCTTGAAAAGACTCTTCCACTAGTAAAGCCACACATAGGGATGCATATTTAACTTAGATTTGATAAATTTTGATCGATAAATTTTGATTCGATAAATTAGATCGATTCGAATATTCTTTTCATAAAATTTAAATTAGGTCGAATTTAATTTTAAGGTAAAAAATCCACAACTTGATATGAGATAATATTATGATCATCTTGAATAATTATAATAATTCCATTTTCTATTTTTTTTACTTAGATCATTATTTTACTAATTAAATTAATTTTTTTTATTTAGAGAGAGATAGGATCTATTCACAATGTATAATTTTTTTTTAGTTTTACACAAAATATAAGTAAATCTTAACTCATATATATAAGAGTTAAGTCATATCGGATCAAACACGAATTTTAACTTTAAAAAAATCAAATTTAATAACTAAAAATTCAATCTTAACCCAAATTATGACTATCTTAATCATAGAAAACTATATTTCAAAGTATAAAAGTATTTTAACATTTTTCAAAATTTATAATCTGAACTTTTTCAATCTCCACTTTTCAATATTTAATCCTATTTCTAGCCGCCTAGTGGATAATATAGCCATTATTTTATTTCATTATTATTATATAAATTATAAGCCCCAAAGCTGCATAATCTATTTTTGAATTGAAAATCATAGGGGGGGGAAATCTTTTTGGACATCACAAACAAGTCTTAGAAAGATCCAGCAAAGATTCTACTTAAACTGACACCCAAATTATAATGGTTAGAATTCTTTTTATACACAAGGGAGTCAAAAAAGCCTTCCCTGAGATATTGCTTCATGCCAACGTTTTAAATTACAGTTGTAATCATGTTTTCGATTGTATTACGTATATCGCGATTATAAATATAACGGATGTTATTGCAGTCATTACGGATGTTGCAGTCGTATAATACTAATTTCGAATGGCACCGTTACCACTATATAATAGTTGATATTTCGATAATGAATTGCTATTTATTTAAATCCATACATCGTGATTTCTTCTATTAATGAATTCTTTTCTTTTTTCTTTGGTGTAGCTACACATGGTTATAAACGAGTCGTTGAGACTGTATCCACCAGCGACGGTGCTGCCACGGATGGCATTTGAAGACATTAAATTGGGCGATCTTTTCATCTCCAAGGGACTATCGATATGGATACCAGTGTTGGCGATACATCACAGTGAAGAATTGTGGGGAAAGGATGTCAATGAATTCAATCCCGATAGGTTCAATTCGAGACCTTACGCCTCCAGTCGTCATTTCATGCCATTTGCCGCCGGTCCTCGGAATTGTATCGGCCAATCTTTCGCCATGATGGAAGCTAAGATCATATTATCCATGTTTATCTCACGGTTCAGCTTCACGATTTCAAAAAGCTATCGCCATGCTCCGGTCGTTGTCATGACTCTAAAGCCGAAATATGGAGTTCAAGTGCACTTGAACCCGTTGGATCCTTGAAACAAGCCGATTTTGTAGTGGAATCCACCGAGTAGAGAACGTAATTTTGATAATACATTAGCATCATTACAAGAACAAGTTTATGAAATCGAGATTATAACATAATATCATTTTGTTTTTTTAATAGTTTCGGTGATTACAATATAATATATATTTAGAATCTTTTTTAGTCATTGACATTACACACATCCTCTAAATATAAATATTCAAATTTAAAACCTCTTAAAAGAATAATAATTTATCAGTAAGATCGCTTAATGAGTCTAATAACGTAAAATTAATTAGTTAATCAAGGACAGTCCATAACATAATATTCATTCCCCTCTCCATTTAATTTTCATGAAAAAATTATTGCAACTTGTATTTCAGTTTCTTAGCCACCCACATCTGCTTGTTAAGATGCTCCTCCACTACCTTTTTTTTATTATTCTTAAAATCTCTACTTATTTTTCTACCAAATTTCGTGTCAGTGTCTCTATTTATTTATCATTTTCTGTCATTGTCCACAGCACTGTGTACGATAAATTCCTACGCACACGTTCGTTCTTTTTTTATTGGTCTGACCCTTTGAGTTTAAGAACACGTTCATCCAACTTTTAAGTGAATTTTAAAATACAATTCGGCAATATAAGATAATTTTTTAAGTTAAATAGATTATAATTGAAAATGATATATTTTTTATAGTATTTTTCTTTTGTATGTCTTAAATTATTTTAATATAATTTCTCGGTCGAAATTAAAAATATTATAAATTTATATAATATTTTAAATTGAACATAATAACATTTTTAAATAAAATCATCTTAAATTAATCTTAAATTAACACACCGCACTACAGAACTGTCCAACTTCACGTGATACACTTATAATTTATTTTGAGACAATCTCAAATGTACTTAATTTATTTATTTATTTATTTTGTTTATTGGCATGGATCAAATATTGATATTGATATTGAAAGACAACTCGTACTTGTACCAATTGAATTTAGGATTTGTGGGCATACATACTAATGCTCTCCAACAAACGTAAAGATACTATTTGGTTGGTAAATTTCAGGAATAATATACAAACTTACCCTTATCTTATCATTAGTATTCCACTTTAACAATTTCTTTTTCCTTTTTTTTAATCTCTTTATGCTTATCTCTTCATCATATAGAAATACATAATTAGAAATTTATAGATTTCACAAACCGGATTGATACATCAATATGTATTCTATATTACTTAATCGCCGCATGCATGTAATTACAATTTTATAATCTGCTTTTATTTGTAATGATTGTTATTTTTTTTATTAAAACCGCTAATTTTATTAAAAATAAAAAAAATCTAAATACAATGAAGGTTTACTATCACAACAGTAAATTAAATAAATAATAAGCATATTTTCTTATAATTATTAACACGAGAAAACTAACCACTTAAAATCACACAATGACTATACAAGGAAAATGTAAAAAAAAATTAATCAAAAATGTGAATAGATCTGACTGCATCAGAAAATGAACCACAAAAGGAGATCAAACTATTGAAAGATCTCCGACAAACCACAAATCAAATTCGAACGACATAAAAAAATTATTCACGAACGCAAATAACATATTCAAATCTAATATGAGGGTCCAAAGTAGGAAAATTCGGCGTAATAACAAATAAGCGTCATCATGATCAATCGTGGAGATGTCAAATCCAATCCTGAGAAAATGATAAACTAAAACAACAGTCAAATAACCAAAAACGTACATAAAGATAGAAGAAAACATACCATGAAAACAAAGAAAAAGCATATCATAAAAACAAAATTATTAAAATTTAAAAACAAAAAAATAAAGATATGTTATAATAAAATAAAAGAATAACAATAAATATTGATGATCAATGATCGGCACCAAGGTTAATATTGATGTCGGTCACAAAATGAAGAAAAAGATAAATTAACAGGGTCAAAAAAAAGAAAGAAAATTAGGGCAAGCCCTCGTTTATTTTTTTTAAATAATGTGTTGTTATATATATATTTACCTTCTCAGTTCTAAGGTTTTTGCCTCAACTAATTCGAATCGATCCGCGTCGTACGTCCTTTTGTGGGTGAGTCTCCCAGCATGGATTTTCTACATACACAACGAATCCAACTCGAAACTTTACTTAAGTTATATCAAGTTACTTATCACTTAAACCAACTCCTATCGATAATAATATGTTATTCTTTAACTTCATATGTATAAAAAATACATTATCGATAATTAAATATAATCTCCGGTTTATATATTTTAGAAGTGAATAATATGAATAATTGAGAAATGACAATATTTATAAATTGTGTATTCTACAATATATTTGGACAATATGAATTAGAAGTGAGTATTCGATTGAGTTAATTTAAAAAATTGAGTTAATAAAGTTGACGAGTTTTATTTTATAATTCAAACTTTATTTTAAAAAAATTCAAGTTGAATCGAGTTCTTCGAGTTTTTGTTTAAATTTAATTATAAATATTTATAATATTATGTTATTAATTGATTCCAATTTAAATAATTTTCTATAACCATATATGATATACATATATATTTCTTCATATTTTTATATGTGATGTATATATATCATGCAAAGTTGAGGGAGTCAAGTTTAACTTGAAAATCAATCCATTAACTACTAAAAGTTTTAAATTATTTGAGTTATTGGAATCCCATTTTATAACTCAAACTTTATTTGAAAATGTTTCGAATCAAATTGAATTTTTTGACATTGAATCAAGTCAAAATTTGATTAATTTTTAATTGAGCTGAGTTGTACTCATCCATTATATGGGCGAAGGCATGATCTTCATGGGTTAAATGGGTCCAGATTTATTTTCTTAAAGGTGGATCTTCTGGATGCTTAAGTGTTTTATAGAATACATTGGGCTTGAGTTATGCACAACATGCTACAAAAGTCAAGAGGGTTGCAGCCCATCCAAGTTTGGCTAACATGGAGTGTATGGGCTTATGATCCAGCCTTAGCCATTACCAAGAAAGGTCCAAAATACTTGGGGTCCATTGAGTTCGAGCCAAGTTTGAATTTGCAATGTTTGAAAACAAAAGATTGAATTGTAACACCCCAATTTAGGGGATAAATTTAAGAAATTATAAAGTGATGAATTTAATTGGAATTTTGGAAGGAAATTGAGGATTATATTGAAAAATTTCAAAGTTGGCAGACCATTTTATAAAGTGCAAGAAATTCAGTGACTAAACTTATGATTTGATCATTTTTCTTTTGGAATGAATTATAACACCCTTTCCTGTGTATTCTGCATATTAATTTCTTAGTTTCCCTCCCCCTTCAATTCTCCTTTCAACTCCGATCTAATTGTTGTCCGACCTCCGATAGACAAACCGAAACCACCATCGTGTTTGTTGTCGACCGAGGAACAAAACCCCTCAAACCTTTCGTCGTGAATCATCGCCGTTCGTCGTTAATTTCAATCGGAAGTATCATCGGTAATAACTCGATTTCAATTGGTTTTTCGTCGATTCACGACAATCCGGTCATCCGTTTCTGATACCTCCCGCACCATCGTGTTCCTTGCATCGTTCCGAGTCCACCAGTGTTCTCCGTTTCTCCTTCGTCGCCAGCGCGTGGAGGGGTGAGACCGCCAAAATTCTGATGTTTCAGAATCGAGCTATCCGCCGTTCAAAATTGTGAACCGAGCTTTGTAAGTGCCTCAAAATTGCTTAAAATAATTTTTAGGAATTTTTCCGAGAATTTTACGACACCTTATAACTGTTCACGCGCCCCACGCGCCACCCCCGAGAGTGGGCATCGTCTTGTTGTAATTAATTTCTGTTTGGGTGCTATTTGTGTAAAATTCAGGTGTTAGTGGCTAATTTTGTAATTAATTTCTGTTAGGGTGATATTTGTGTAAAATGGTTGAATGTTGACTGTTGACCGTTTACCGACGTTGACCACAATTAACCAGAACTTTGATCGGCTTTGACCGGGCATTAAACGACCTTTGACTTTGACCGAGTATACCTATTCTGAAGTTTTTCGACGTTCTGAATCCGATTCCGCAGTCCGTTTTTTCAAATCCGGACCTGAAGATCTCGAAATTGCCAGTCAAACCCGTTGACTTTGATTTTGACCGAAAATTCTAAATTTTCGAAAAGTCATATTTTATGCTTTCGACGTCCTGAATTCGAATCTGAAGTTCGTTTCACTAAATTCGAACCCGGTAAGCTATTTTTCACTGATTTATCATCTGATTCGATCCATTTTTCAGAATTAAGCTCCATTTTTTTATGTAATTTCTGTTGATATGGATCCTAGGAAATATTGGAAGTTGAATTAAAGATCAAAGTCGTTCGAATGGAATTTATATGGCCGATCAGTATAGCACAGAAATCGAGGTAATACTTTACTACCTCTTTATGCTTTATGGAACATGTTGATATTGGTAAATGAATGAATAAGATAACATTGATCACTTTTGTGAACTTGAATAATTTATACACTCGATATGAATATGGTAGAAATTCTGTAACTGAATACGGATCAAATGACTAATATAAGAGATTGATGAATTGTTAGAATTAAATTACAAGTTTGTGATTGGTGACAAAGAAATCAGCCCTTGATTTGTAACTTATATTTTATATCATCAAAGGTTAAATGTTAAAGGTACTTGGATGAAAAATTATGAGGATACTCTGGTAGGGTAATATTATGAAAATACCCTTATGTTGTAGGATGACAATAATTGTCCCTGAAGTTGGTTAATAACTCTGAAAAGACATATTGATCCGATATAATTACAGATGTGCATAAGAAATGCTAGTTTTGCTTGGAAAATTTGGATAACTGGTTTTTAATGCCAAAAAGGGTTTGTGCAAGATGCTAGAAGTTTGTTAAGGAATAATTTCAAGATCAGAGAATGTTCGGCAAAGCAATTGACCATAGGATCTTTAAATTATAATTATTTTCGTTAAGAGCTAATATTGAAATTATCTGGTTAGGAAATTATGAAAATGCCCCTAAGAGGTAAAATAGTCTGAGTTGACCCTGAATGAGAAAGTACTTTGAGAATTTGCACTTAACTCGATTAATTACGAA